GCTGTGCATGTGCTCCCGGATGGAAGCTCCATTTTTGTGCAATGCGTTGACGGTGGACATCACAAAAAGTTCTTACAGAAGGCAGCGGACAATGATCCTCGCATTGTTGGGCAGGAGTATGATGCTCTTGGAAAGCCGGACTGTTCACTCAAGGATGTCTCCTCGAAGTTTGAGGAGGTGTCCACTGAGTGGAATTTGACTGGACCTCGTACAAGTCGTTGGTGCATCTCATACTTGGTTGTCGAGGGGCTTGGTTTCGAAAGACACCACGAACGCTTCAGACAGCTATGCAAGATAGAGTCATCAGCGTGGGGCGTTCAAGAGCATTATCAGTTGAGCATGATAGCAAAGCATGCCCTACAGACAGATCAGCTGGATGGGTACAATAATCTGTGCCTGGAGGTTGTCTTCCGTAGGATTCAGACCATAGAGTATGCCTATGCGGAGAGGGCTCGAGAGATCGAGTCGAAGGCTGTCGGTGGGAGATTGTCGCTGGAAGAACAGAGTACTTTTGGAGGCATCACTCGTCAGGCTTCGACTCTCATGATCTGTCCTCAACTTCTGGACCACGTGAACGCCGAGGTTGAACGTGACGCCAACCTGGCCAAGAACCTCAGGAAGGCTCGAGAAGAGAGAGAGAGAGTTGGCCCGCAAGGCCGGCGGCAAGAAAAACAAAGGTGAAGACGCCCCCTAGACGAGAGTGAGGAGCTCTATGGGGTTGCAGCTGCGCAGCATGATTGTGTTGAATTCACGCAGGAAAAGGTTGCAGGCATGGGAAAACCACCCTGTGATCTTGATGGCCCAGGGGCGTTGAAGATGCTCCGGGCAGCCAACGGATACGGTGAAGACCAGCCCGTGGGTTCGTTGGCCTCGTTCAATATCGAAGCTGTCTCCATGCTGGAGGTTGGTTGGGTCCCTATTGACCTGGGTACATTGTGGGGCAGCGACGGTCAGCAGAAGGTGAACGATTTTGTTTCGCATCAGGTTCTGCCACCGGAGAAGGCGAAGGTCAAATTGGAGGCTTGTGGTGTGAGAGCTCCCTATTCTGATCCTTTGTTGCGGCAGGGCCGAGTGTATCGCCAGTTCTTGAGGAAATTGCATGATTCACACTTGATAGACTACAGTTTGTCCCCGGGCAAGGAGAGGATAGCTTTCTTTTGTGTGACCAAAAAGTCTGGCAAGTTGAGGCTCATTGTGGATGCTCGCCGTTCAAACGCTCATTTTGAGGAACACAGTCATGTGTCTCTCACTACCGGAGACGGACTGGGAGCTTTGGAGTTTGAGAAGGAGGCACAGGTGACTTTGGCCCAGGCCGACTTGAAGGACGCCTTCTACCATCTGGCCATGCCAGTACAATTGAGGGATTACTTCACTCTCACGCCTGTGAAGGCGCGGGACGTTGGCGTCACCACCATCGACGGGAGGCATGTGGACCCGTGGGTGAGACTGACGCCTCGGTTGGCTGCGGTTGCAATGGGCTGGACCTGGGCTCTTCATCTTTGTCAGAGCATTCATGAATCCTTAGCAGAAAAGGCAGGGTTGCTGGAGAAAGACCGAATACGCGATCGACGACCGCCCCCCAGATACTTCTTGCTGCCACACACAGTATGTCGACAACATGATAGTGGTTGGCAGTGATGAGCAGAGAGTTCTGTCCACCTATCACAGAGCTACAAAAAAGCTCAAGGAAGCTGGACTGCAGGTGCATGAAGAGGAATGTGAGAAGGGCGGCAAGGTGCTGGGCTGGGAGTTGACAACCGATGCTTTGTTCATGCCCTCCAGGTCAAGAGCCTGGAAGGTACGGCTAGCACTTCGACAAGTTCTTGCTCGCGGACGATGCACAGGTTCCGTGATGGAAAAGTTGATTGGTCACTGCAGCTTCTTGAGTTTGGGGAGACGTGAGTGTTTTTCAATCTTTGGGAGTGTTTATGCGTTCATTCAAAAATACAGGTGGGTCCGTGAAGAAGTTGTTTTGTGGAGGAGTGTGCGAAGAGAACTTCAGATTTTTGATGGTGTCATTCCCATGATTTTTCGGGATCTGAAAGCACCCTGGAAAACCCGTGTTTATGCTGTTGATGCCTCTGAATATGGTATGGGGGTTACTTGCACACATGCCACTGGACACTGTCAGATCACTTGGACAATACAATGAACGGTGGCGATTCAAAGACCCATCCGGAGCCAATCCACGACAACAGATTTTGCATGAACAGTCTGCGCTTGTTGACGGTTCGGTCGGAGACGAGCTGCTCGTTGTTGGGGATGTCGTTGGGGATACACAATATATACAAAAGTTTGTAAATGTTCCATTTGTTGTTGACAGGGAGTGGCGCACCATAGCTAAGTATTGTTGGAGAAAGGGGGGAACGTTGCCGGTCTTTGAAGGCCGCTCAGTACTCTTCGCAGCCAAGCACATACTTCGTTCTCGGTCGAGTTTTGGTTGCCGTCATTTGATTTTATCAGACAGCCTGACCGCTGCCTGTGCAATTTCAAGGGGAAGGGCATCGACTTTTCATTTGAGACAGGCGTGCAGACAGATTGGGGCACTTAGTTTGGCCAGTGGCACCTATTTCAACAACAGATGGATTCCAAGTGAGTGGAACCCTGCAGACAACCCTTCACGTGGCATTTGGACTCCTAGCAAGCCTAAGCGGTTTTTGGGCCATGGTGATCTTCCGGGACAACATCCTACAACAGCCGCTACGGTGGAATGGGTTTCCGAAGACAACCACCAAGGTGCGCAAGAGCTTGAAAAAGGAAGCCGGGACCACAAGGCCCGTGGCATGCAAACCAATACAGCAAGAGGAAATGAGACTGGCAAACACTGCAACCAGTCGGAGTGCCAAAAAGAAGATGAGGGCAGTCAATCGCATGGACGTGCGACCAGATCCTCTAGAAGGCATGACGTCACTGCAGTTGGCGTCAGTGTCCAAAGAGTGCCTATCTCGTTACAAGCGTTGCTGGAGCTCGGTGAAACAGAAGTTGCTGACCTGCAAGGGAAAACTGAAGGCCACAACTACAGTGGACACTATCCTGAGCCGAGAGCTGGACAACCTTTACCACGATGGCGAGGATGTGAGCGCGGGCGAGTATTTGATAGCAGCTGTTGTGTTTTTCAACATTTGTTTGAAGTCGCCTGCAATGCAAAAGCTGCCTCAGGTGAAGCAATCCTTGAAGGGCTGGAGAAAGATGGCCCCCCAGCGTTCCCGATTGCCAGTTCCTTGGGAAGTGACCTCGCTTCTCATTCAGAAGCCAATCGACAAAGGACTGATGGGCCTGGCGCTTCACATGGGGCTGATGTTCGCATTGTATTTGAGGCCAAGCGAAGGCCTGAGGCTGAGCGCCAGGGATGTGGTCCCACCTGTCCTGAAGGGCCAGGGAAACTACAGGCATTGGACAGTTGTCTTGCGTCCGGAGGGGGCAGGAGTAGCTTCAAAGACTGGAGTTCGACGAATCACTGCAGTTAGACCTCAGTTATCATCAGGGCTTCGGCGAGGCTCTCAGAAGATTTTGCAGCAACGGTCGGTTGAGCAAGAGCCAGTTGATTTTCAATCACGACAACGTCGATCTGAACCATTTTCTTCAGGATCCATCCATACAGGTTCAGACATGGCGGAGCTTCCCACGATTTTGTGGGAAATTTTAGAGATCTAGCAGCCATACAACAGAGAGGAAGGTGGAAAAGTCAAGCCTCCGTGTGGAAGTATCAAAAAGGGGCCCGACTCACTCAGATTTTCGGATCCCTTCCAAAAGAAGTTCAAGACAGGGCCATGAACATGGCCGCCGCCATGCCCAGTGTGTGGCGAAGGGTGCGCTAGAACGTGGTGTGCCTTCAAGCTTGAAACCCATGGTTTTCCTTGAACTCTTTTCTGGCAGTGGCAACTTGGGCAGAACAATAGCGCGTCAAAACTTTTGGCCAGTGCTGCTGTGGGATTGGTGCCTGGGAGAACAGTATGATCGCCAGAAAAGCAAAAATCGCATGTTGATTGCTGGCTGGTTTCGCTCGGGCTTGATCCGGGCATGCAATTTGGGAACTCCGCGCAATACCTTTTCTAGAGCTCGTGATAGGCCCCGGGTCCGAGACCTTTGAGGAGCGATGACCATGTCATGGGATTGCCTGGCCTTTCACCTTCTGACCAGACGAAGGTGTCAGAAGGCAACCTTTACATGCGTTTTTCAGTCTTCATTATGCACTTAGCCTTGGCCTTGTATATCCCATGTACACTAGAAAACCCAGCCAGATCCCGAATCTGGTTGTGCCCTCCAGTGTTGAACCTGGGTCGACGTCGAAGGACACAACGCGTGTTTTTTGAGATGTGCATGTTTGGAGCGCCGTGGAAGAAACCCACGTCCCTGCTGGGTGTGAACATTCAACCGGAAAGCATTGGCGAACACCGTTGTTTGGGAACAAAACGCGGTTTTTGCAAACGTACTGGCGAGAAACATGTGGTCCTCTGTGGACAGGATGCCAAAGGCAACTGGGCCACAAAGCAAGCGCAAACATATCCACATGGCTTTTGTCGGTGCCTCACCAAATGCTTTCTTGATGTGGAGATGCAAACGAGGGCGAATAATTTTGAACTACGGCTTAACTAGCCAGTGTTGCTTCCAGCTATGGGAGGTTAGCTTACTTTAGCTTAGCTTTCAGATATGGGGTGTGGCAAGGCTTGCAAGCCGCTGTAAAGACTTCGTGCTCGGTTGAAGATCGGTCCTACAGACATCGATCTTTCCTCGCAGTTCTTTGAACACCACACTGGCGTGAAAAGAGTGTGATGAGCGAGAATCATACATATATATAAGTATACGTGGAATGTGCCCAGATATTGCTGGGTTGGGTAACCAGGCAGCTTTCTCTGCGAAGAGGCTAAGCTACAAGAAGGAAAGGAGACACGTAAAGGAGGAATTTCTTAGTTAAGAAGTTTTGACACATGAATGCGACCCTCAGTGATCTCTCACCCTTTATATAGACAGAAAATATGATGCGCTACCTTGGAGAAGTCATGCTTCGCAAGCTTCAATATCTATGCTTCACAATAATCCCTTTGCTTGCCGCTTGTCGCCAGGAGGTCAAGGGCTACGTGAAGAACGGAGCCAAGCTTGATGCCCAGGCATCGCTGCAATTTGGGATCTGAAGATGTTTTGAAGGGGGCTGATTTCTTTGTCCAGGCAATCACAATTGTCCCAAAACAAATAGATCACTGCTGTGAAGCATCCTGCGAAGAAAATCAGCTCAAGTCTTTTTGAGAGTCCACTAAACCGTCACAAAGAATGTCTACCACGCAGACCCTCATGAAGCAGTGGGAGACTAGTTGCGCCTTGATTGGTCTTCTCCTCCATTGAATTTGGTTGAATTGCAGGTTGTTGAATTTTTGCAGGATCTCTATGGCTGGACTGCCCTGCGATACGCTGTGCGAGCTGATCAAGTGGAGGTACGGCAACTTGACGTTCAGTTGAGGAGGCTGTGACGGGCCCGAGCAGACATGTATGCCATGGCAGCTGACAGTTGATCTGATCAAAGCATTTCGCCAGGCTGCAGAAGCACTGATTGAGGGTGGAGCAGATATGAACCTGTCCTCCAAGTCCGGGCCAGGGTCTCACAGGAACAAGAGGACACGAGCATGAGCAACATCTGAAACTACTTTGGCTGACTTGGAACTCACAGCGCTAAGTTCAGACAGTTGCTCATTTTCAACTCTTGATTTTGCTGTTGCTGCCAGCCTGACCTGCTCAGGCGTACACCTTTGATGTCTGCAGCATCGAATGGGATTGCTGACATGGTGCGGCCCTGTGTGATTTTCTGGTCAGCAGTCTGCAAGCTGAAAGTGCCTGCAGCCGTATTCACATGATGGACTTGAACTGAAGTTGGACGTCAGCTTTAAGAGTGTGCTGCAGGGTAACAGCGTTGTGAGAATTCAGCTCATGCACTGTTTCAGGTGAAGTTGCTTTTGGATGCCGGGGCCGACGCCAAGGCAGTCGATTCTACTATCTTTGAAGAGTCTGAAGTCCCCTGTTTTTGCCGAGCATCGTGACGACCGACGGAAATGGAACATGTCCCCCCGGTACGGTGTGAAGTTTTCCCTGAGGAAAAACGTCTCATGGATCGTTTTTCAGTGTCAGGATGGAACCTGTCCATTTCGCTTCATGGGTTGTTTCAGAGTCGAAGAGAAACCACTGCTTTTGCAAAGTCTCTCAGATTCCACTGCCTAGCTCGGACTGGACTTCTTTTCAGGCCAAGAACTCCGAAGGGCTCACGGCCTATGACATGTCCATGCGCGGAGGGGAGACAGGTGGGACGGGGTAGACCAGATGGGTGGGAAAGTGGGCTTGTTGCACTGGAGGGTTCGATGCGATGTGAAACCACGATTGCTTGAAACTCACGACGTGAAGATGTAGTACCCAATGTATTCAGAAGTGTAGTTGGTAAAATAGATCAGTATGTCAGTATAGTATAGTAGTCATGTAAAGGAAGAAAAGTGGCAGACGTGCCAGGGTGCGAGGAGTGCCGCAAAATGCTCCAAGAAGCGGTGGACTCGTGAAGCGCTCGAAGCAGCGTCATATGGTCTTATCAGCTTGGTGCAGGGTGTGTAAGGCTTTAAGGTGGTGGATGTAAATTGGCTGTTTTGACAAGCTTTGGCAAGTCAGATTCTGGTTGAAGTGTTGTGGCAGTGGCTGGAATCATTTTGTCAAGCTATAGATCCAGCACACAAACACACACACACACTCTGATGCACATTGGCGTTGCATCGCTCACCAGTGATAGAAGCACTGCTTTGCACCAAATCAAATGATAGGACCGCAAACCAGCCCCAACTTGTTCTTTGCATATACTGGATTCCAGCAACATGAGGGTATGTCAGGCTTCTGGGCACTTTGTGTCAGGTATATATATATATATATCCTAACATTATCGAATGGCTTGTACAGTGTGCCCTTCAAACCAGTCGACATTTTGAGATCCAGATGAAAGACAATCCTGTGCCAACATGTGGCAATCGGTTCAAATGAACATTTGTAAGTGCAGTGCTTTGCCAAGTTTCTGGGTGGTGCTCTACGCGTCTACATTTGAATCTTTTAAGTCTTTCCCGATCGGAAGCCTCATTGGCTCTTCCAGGCCTGGGGCCAGTCCTCTGAAAGGCAGTTAGTGGGATCCAAAAGTCAAGTGCTGTTTCGGAGAAAGGGCCCAGCTGGGCCAAAAACGATGATTTTAGTGGGGAACCGATAGTGCCTGGAGGATTCGATAGTTCATCTATATATAGATACGACAGGAGATCTCTTGGTGCCGCTTGCAGTTGCGAAGAAAGAAGCAGTCTTCACCGTGAGGTACTGTATCAGAGTGTGTGTGGCTGTGTGCCTGTGCCAATCTTTGTTATGAACTCTGAGCTTTCCAAGACTGATATAGAGGAAAGCGCGATCCACTTTCAATCAATTTCTTCAAAAAGGGCTCCCGGTAGGTATCGATCACAAATTCCAGAGTCATATCGAGAGGTAACAGGGGTATTTGTTTGTTTGTTCTGCTCCTGCAGAAGATTCTTCTCTTGAGCAAGGCTTGTATTGACTTCTTTGTCTTCAGTGCAGTCTGCACGACAAAGGACACCAGGTATTGCTTTGACTTAAATACCTTCAGACTGCCACATGCGGCAAGGTACATTAGTACTACATTCTGGTCGGGCAGTAGAGAGACTGCATTCTGAGCCCTCGATCCCCGCACGCCCTGCGAGCCCTGGCTCCGAGTCCCTCTTTGAGTTTGGAAAGCTATTTTTTGAGACGTCGCTTAATGCCTCCATCGTGCTGAAACTTGGCACAGGCAGTGACTGAAGTAGAGCAAGTGCCGGGCATTGGTGTAGACTGTCGAACTGGGCATTGTGAAGTTTGCTATCATGGAGTGTATGCCCAGACATGAGACGTTCTCTTCATTTCCTTGCGAATGTCTATGGAGGCTAATGCTGACATGGGCAACGGAGTCAGATGCACGGCGCTGGAAGCTCTTTAGGAGGAGACGAGTGCTGCTGCTTCTCTGAAGAATGGTGAGACTGATGCTCCACGTAGCGTGTTGAAGTGCATTCATGGATTCTGACAGAAGCTGGCGGTGCATTAGAGAGCAGGAACACTACAAAGAAGCCATTCTGCTGAGGTCTCGCCATAAGTTCTGCAACTTTGCTTGTGTTGGCTAGACAAAGTTAAATCAGAATCAGTAGAGTTGATCCAAGGGCCCCACGCTTTGTACGGAAGGAGAGCGAAAAGCCAAAGCGGAAATACACCGTTAGCGCTGTCGGAAGTATGGTCCCCGGGTTCGCTACCTGGCAGGCGGGAGAAGAAGCACACACTTCGCCAAACATGCTTCCCAGGTGTTTGGTGTATTTTTTCCGGTATTCCTGTGGGAGTTGAATACACCCAAATGCCCCACATATTTCAGTGAGCATGTCTACTGGATATTTGGAGGCCATCGCTATTAGGCTACTATTAGGCCATCGCCATTAGAGGGAGCTTCTGAGCATGTCTACTGGATACTTTTGTCCAACAAGCACACCGTCTGACGTGCAGCCCTTCTCAGGCAGGAGAACGAGCCTCCCCGACGTGGGCGGCCGCGGCAGCGCAAGAGGCTGGGAATTGGATGAAGTTTTGTTGCTATGGATGGGTTGAAGTGGGGGACTGTCTGATACGTTCAGATGGTTTTTGAAGTGGCCTGCTTGTTGATCTTCCAAATGGCTTGGAGTTAAAACAGACAGTCTTCTCCATTATTTTAGAGTCGTCAACATAGACTAGACGAGGACCAGGCAAATTCTTTCCTGACAAGGGATTCTGAAGAAGTGTGGCTTAAAACGTTTCCTCGTCACCCAAGTCCAAGACCCTTCTCTAAAGTGATGGGAAATTGGTCTGAGATTGGTCAATGTTGAAGCCCTTTCGGCTGAGGACCTTGGGGCCAATCAAAATCGGATGCCTTTTCGGCTGTGGTGGCTTGCCGCGAGAGGCCACACCAGAGGAGGCGAAGTGCAATCTGACGTTAGTGCATTTTGTTCCTCGAGCTTCGGGATACAGGCTGCCAGTAGACATGACGACCGAACCAACTGTCCGTGTAAGGAAGAACCCCTCTAGATGCCATACTAAGGTTGGAAGTAACCCGTCAGTCCCACCATCGAACATCCAGGGAAACATTCTGAAATTCTTCGGTAAGTCTTAGACTTGCGGCTCCTTGTAGTTGCACGGGGGTTGAATTCTGTGATCTCAGGCGCTAACAGCTCCAAACTCCAAATATTCTTTTGATTTCTTGCTTCAGACACTTTTTGCTCTTTTTGGCTCGTAGGGACTAATGTATGTCTAAGCACTCTCACCGGGACTCTCCCAAAATCCGACGGAACCTACGGAATCCGACTGGCCAGGCGGTGTCGATCTCGCCGCTCCCCAGCGCGCCGACTTTGGGCGCAGCTCGTCAGCTGCGAGCGGCCTTGAAGGAGCGTGCGACGCGGCGAAGTGGCCGGAGTGGCCTGGTGGAACAGCTCTGCTACCAAGGCGCGAAACACCTTGGGAGTGACGAAACCGGAGGTTGGAATCTTTCAACCCCCTGGCTCGTCTTGTGTCAAGGCCTCTCTGGTGTTTAAAAAGAAAACTCCTTCCTGTTCTGTCCGGATTCAAGTCTTTAGGATTGTTTAGATGCATCAATCGGATTGTAGTTCCGTTTTTTCAGGTTTTGTAGTTCCATGGACCCATTGGACCCCGACAGAATCCTGAAAGGAGCTGATTGGTCCTGATATCCAAGTTTTGTCGTTTGCTTCTTGAGGCGTGGTCCGCAGTAGCAGCGCCGGCAGCCTTCTGGAGAGGCTGCCTGGAGACGTACATGTTTTAGGGTCCGAGCTTGATTTCACTTGAAGCTAACCTCTTCTCAAGTTTGGCCACATGCAAGCTTGTGTGTGTGACTGTGCCACTTGTTTGCGAGGGTTGCATCAGAGTGTTTTGTATATGCAGCTGCGAGCTTCGAGCGCTTTAGACTTATGACAAAGGTAGAACTGTGACACTTAGACAAGAATCTCCTTGACTCGTCTTGTATCGATCACCCCAAGTGACCAAGATTGAGTTGGCTCCAAAGGGTAGGGGACAAGAAACATGTTTGCGACATGAAGGCTTTGTTGAGTACAGCACCGTATCCTTTCACGATGCAAATAGAGGGCCCTAACGCCGCACTTCCTGCATCGTCAGGCAGAGTGGGGCTGTTGTTCATTACCATTGTCCTTTGCCTGTACTTTGCTGTTTTCTGTGTAACTTTAGTATCATTGACAACCACTGACATTGATCATTGGCATAGTTTTGAATTGGAGTGCTGCTACGGATAAGAGTATTTTTGCACCGGATTGAACATGCAGTCTTCAGCCTTTTTGAAAGTATCAATCAAGCGTAAGTTGTTTTTGGCAAAGCTTTCATTGCACTGCCCTGGAGTTTGCGGGGGATACCTCCCACTTCGACAAGTTCTCTTCGTGGCATGGATAGTCCTTTTGCCAGTGGTGTTTGCATCCTCCCTATCTCTGGGATTTGAGGATGCGAGAGCCATTGCCACTTTGCGAACTCTCAAGAGAATTACACTTGTTTGTGGTAGTAGCAGTTCTCTTGTTTTGGATTAAACGAAGAAGTCTGGAGAGTCTGTAAAGGAAACAGCATTGATGATATTTTTTGGCCAACCTCAAGTTCTCGAACATACACAGGGCGCAATCTTCCCGCACATGCCACTTGAGGCGCTTTGTTCCTTTGCAATTGTTGGCTGGTCTGCACAGCCGGGAAGAACTCCCATCGAATACACCAGCCTCGCTTTCCTGGCTCTGGTGACTATCACAGGCTGTATATGTGGGTTTGCTATGGACTCAAAACGAAGGCTTTTAGCGAATTCAGGGCAAGGGGTGACTTGAGCTCTTGCAAAACTGCCATCAGCTTTGCTCAGGTTGATGGTTGGTTGAAGATCCATTTTGTTTTCTTTTCTGGAGTTTTAACCGTGACCACCTTATTCATTTCTGACCTTCGGCACCAGTTCTTTTGCTTGAGAGCT